TATATTAATATGTAAAACCTAAGAATTTAGTTTTTGGTCTTCTGAACGCTGGCGGAGCCGCGGGCAATGCTAGTAACTTATATAATACATCGATTTCTTCTTATTTTTACTTATAACAGAAGTAAATTATTTCAGAGTTTTTATTTAAACTAGGGTTTACATTATAAATTTATATTACTTTTCATTATTAATTACTCTTCTACACTATTATAAAGAGATAAAGTTTGTAGGTTTGTGAGTTTATTTGTAATGGATAAAGTAAAAATCCGCTGAACCTATTTAGATGAAATTTGGTATGAAAATAGTTTGAGACCGTTAAATGATCATACGATAGTTTTTATCAATTTTATTAAGGTGAAAATGAGGATGAAAGTTTGTAGGGCAATTAACCATTTCTCAAGTAAGGGATATAAAACTCATCATACCTCTGTATATACATATAAGTACTAATATAGTATATAGTCCAGTATATAGTCAGTAACCGTTGAAAGTACCTAGCGATGAACCCAAACGAAGCGAGGGTGAGTCGCTGGTACATTATAAACTCATAATAAATATTTGCTAACAAATCGTTACAATATGTAATTGAATCAAAAAGTTATAATTATTCGTTATTCAAGTATGAAATTTATATAAATGTAAACCACGTCTAAATTGGATCTAGGCCCAAAACGTCTATCTTTGCGGTTCGCAACTCTGTAGGTACACAATATTGCTACGTCAGGATCTAGGTAATATTTGGATATCGCAATCCCTTTTTAAATAGGTACTTTTTGCTTATTATTTTAGGATTTAGTAAAACTCCTTTATACCCAACAAAAAGCGTAGGTACCTATTTCAACTTTACACGTACTCGTAACAATGATCATGGATCATTCTTATTTTAGGAACAATATTTTAGATGTTTAAAGCTAACTTATATTCTATACAATGTATAACATCACATTTTGCTGGCTGACTTGACTTTAAAAAGTACCCTTCCCAGGGTCTCAAACTATCTTCTTACCATATTTTCATCTATATCGTTTCAGTAGATCCAGAGATTACCCTCTACAACGTCACTCACAAACTTTACCTCTTTATAATATTAGTATTTAGTATAGATTAATTACCTACATAACTTACGAGAACAATCTCTATAAGAAAAGTCACCACAATTTAGTTGTGCCACAAACGATTCAATACTGATTTTATACTCAGAATTGTACTAAGTTAAAATAATATTATTGTTTTCCCGCATTGATATTTCCTGAAACATTTTGGAAGATTTATGGTGCTTTGTAACGGTAGATCGTTGTTATCAACTTCTCGTTACCCTAATAAATTAACGTTACTCATGAAGTTAACATGGAAGTCCAGATTGTTAGTTTATTGATATGGCAGAATTATAATTGAGATTATAAATGGTATTCTATTATATAATAATACTAATTAAACAAATTACTTTTTTTCTATTCGAGATTTTTTTATGCGGCACGGTATATGTTTAACTGAATTTTAAATGTTACTGCATATTATACCTACCTATTTAATTATTAAAACAATATACAATATTATTTTAAAATTGAAAGTTAGGTATTTGTATTGACGCCTTCATAAATATGAAAGCAATTTCGCCGTAAGCATATTTTATAAAACAAATTATTTAAAATATTATTATGACAGTGAATAATCAAAAAATGCCTAGGTTATTAATTACGTTTCTTATAATGTAGATAGAAATTATAGCGAATCATTAATTAATTTATAAATAAGTATAAAGTACGCTCTATGCCTAGATTTAATGCTAAATATTTCCTGTTTCGAACTTTAATAATCAACGATTAGGGACACTTTTACTCATAAAGATAAATACAGACAAGTATTCCATTTTAACTTCAAATTTCTCATCAGTCATCACGCGACCACAAGCTATAGTGAAAGCGACCAATGCGTACTATAGTACATGCTAGATATATTTGCGTTAGAATGTTTTGTATTTTCTAATCTGCACAATATAACCCATTTTCTTAAAACTATGATTTTTAATCCTAACTCTATAGGATTACACTATTTCAATTATTTTTAATTTGTTATTATTTAGATTAAAAATGATTGATTTGCTTTTGAACGAAAAGGATCTGTCAAATGTCAAGTGAACTAAATTTGTAGTGTCAAAATGTTAATATTTATTTACGTGTAGATTTTGAAAATAAAAATAAAAGCAACATGATTTAAAATAAACTTCTTGTTAAATAATGATGAAACTAAATGTACACCAGTATAAATATACACTGTTATCCTCTGAAAACGAGTAAGTAATAATATTTTTCATTATTAAATTTATTTGAATGTATTGTAATGTTTTTAAAGTAAGACCAATGGAAATTAAAAAAACCTAAACACTCAAGTTATGTGTTAAGTCAAACCAAACACTAAAGTTATAGAAACTTTCCTTTCAAAACAGCTGCATAAATACAAGGTCGTCTTTAGAATTTTTATTAATCAACATATTATGTACCACAACTATTTTTATTTATAAACTGAATATAATTATGTATATTAACAAATTATAAGATTTAAGTTCATCTCTTCTTTTATTTTTAAAACTGCAAGGTACAAAACAATTTTTGATAAAAATATTATTATGAATTAGTTATGCTTTCACTTATGTAGCAAAAATGTCTAAAGATGCTGTCTATTTGCTACTGCCTTCTGAAAAAATATATTATTTTTTTTTATACTTTTTTGTTTATGTACTTAATGTAATAATTCTATCTAAATTATTGGGCAGTAAAAGATATGTAAAACTAGCGACTCACCCTCACTTCGCTTGGGTATATCCCTAGATAGATTTTAATGGATAGTATGGAATAAATAAACTATATATTATACATACATAGGAACCAAATAAACAGTTCTGAAGTTTCGATTTTCCAGCTGCTTTTTTTTTGGTGTTTCCTATATTTTATACTTAAACCACTCCTGACACACCCCCAAGAAAATAAAAAAGAATTATTCAAATCAGTCCAGCCATTTTTGGCTTTTAGCAAGACTAACGGCAAATGAGTTTTATATATTATATATAAATTATGTGAACAAAAACTCACAAGTCAATTAGCCCAAAAGTAAAATTTGTTGTAGTAGTTGGTTAAATGACTTCAAAGCAATAGTTAGTATCTAAAACTGTCTGTAACCAAAAATATAAAATGCTTTATACTATTCTTTAGCTAATGCGTTTAATAGTATTGTTTAAACTTCAAAAAAAATATGTTTAAACTACAAAATAAAAAAAATATTTTAGTTATGAATTATGATAGTATGTCCTCAAGACCCTTAGCCCTCCTATTCTTTATGGTGCTTGGGCTGTTATGAAAATATCTGGGGGCATTTTTGTTACACGTCTCTGGCAGAATATAGGAGGATTTCTTCCTTGCAGCATTCGTAAAGTGGTTTAAGTTGATGGACATTATGGGGGTTGCCTCCTATGGTAAACTCTGCATACAGGTCACTGGGATCATCAATATCACATTTCCTTCCTCATACACATTCAATGCTACAATAATGGCTCACAGAAAAAGACATTACCCATCATCATTAGCATTGCTTACCACACTCAGCAATGGAAAGAACTAACAAAAGCAACCAAAAGTTTTCATTTTAGGAGGAAAAAATGGAAAAGTTAGTAGTTTAGTTTAGTAGTTAGTTAGTAATTTCGTCTAAATCGGTTCAGGAGATTAAGCGTGAAAAGGTAATAGACAGACAGAGTTACTTTCACGTTTATATATTAGCATGGATATGGATATTAGCATATTTACATATTAACGATTTTTATAAATAAATCTATACATATATAATAAAATTCTAACTAAGCCGAATCTGTACATTAAATATTTTTTGGAAAATCTTATTGAAATAGACATTATTAACGATACAGAGTCCGAATCTATAGTTTTTAGAATTTTTGTCTGTCTGTCTGTCTGTCTGTCTGTTACCGCATCACGAGAAAACCACTGGACATATTTTGATGAAATTTGGTATGATGATAGCTGGTTGTCCCGGTCAACATATAGGATACTTTTTACCACGGGAAAATATCTCGTTTCTGAGAAAAACTGCAATGTAAGAGTATACTAATAGGTATGTAAAACCTAAGAATTTAGTTTTTGGTCAAAGAGATGAAAACGTTCATGAAGGAATATAGTACATATTATACATTCGGAGACATACACGTTTCTTCCTCGCCGCGAGATGTACATACTCGTACGTATGTCCCCGACTGCATAATACTATATTCCATCGTGAACTTTGTGGCACAAAGGTACAAACCCACATACATACATAACATACATACATAGGCTGATAACATATAAACACATTACCCTCCATTGCGTCGCGCAGTCGGGTAAAAACTTTCACTCTTCTACCATAAGATTACAAGAAGACCAAATATTATTATGATGTAATGGAACCAACTGATTATACAATCTTATATTATTAATATATAAATAATCTAAGTATATAATATGTAAATTTATTTAAATACGTTAATTTTGTCACATGTTTCACACTTTACTCAAGTGTTAAAAGCATTCATACAATAACACATTTTGTGCTATCGTCACTTCATTTCGTAAGTACTATAACGTTAGTCATAAAAGTAATAGAGTTATGCAAAGGTCAGACGTTATTGAAATTAAGATCGTTCCAATGTTGTTAGAAAGCACAGTGTAACATAAGTTTAACTATGTATGTATATTGTATAATGTATACTATAAAGTATTGTATCGCGAAATACTTGATACTTCACAATGCCTATAAATTATAATACCTACATAGTGGGGGTAACTCGTGTGAGTGGCAGTTTTAGTTAGTGAGAGGCGCGGGCGTCGAACGGCTTGCCGGCCTTATCATATATTGTCGCGATTTTAATTTATTTCGTAACAAAAACCGACTAAATTAAGGGTGGAGTGTATATCTTGTGTAACATTATAAAACAGTGACCCCAGTGTTGTGTAAACATGAATGAAGATAATTCTGTCACGGACGATTTAAAGAGACAAGCCGCTTTGTTTTATAATTCTACAAAAAGGTTTGTTATTTCTTAAAACCTCGTAACTGTAAAAGCACACGCGGCTCATATTTTATTCTACATTTGAGAAATTTCAAGTTTTAACGCTCTATTTCCTTTTTATAAGGTCTAAGATGGCGTACATTTAAAATAAGACTTGTTTTGTAATGCTTGGCTTAAGCCTTAAAGGTTACATTAAAATATTTAAAGTATTTCCTTTAACTTCAGATATTTTATTGTATTACTTTAGTTCATAAGAAAAAATATGTAAAATTATTTAATTAATACAATTTAGTAGGTATCTCTCCCTTATAGGCGTCTCTCCCAGACTCACCCTATATTTTATATGTAATATAAAAAAGTGCCTTATCCTTCCAATTGGAAAAAAAACAAGTTTCATTAAGTATTTGGAATTAAAAATAATATACTGATATTATATACTTATAACTCATTTTCTTTTGGATGCCAACTTATTATCTTCTCATTTTTCCTTAGGGAATAGACTGTATTCTGTAACCTCAATATATAAACGCTCAAACCCTGCGGGAATGAAACACACGAACGCTTCCTATACATAAATTTATAAATTTTATAATATACCTACTAGCGACTCACCCTCACTCCGTTCGAGTTTGTCCCTACGTTTTAAGATTAGTATAGATTTCTCAGATATGAGATATTTTCCCTCAGTAAAAAGTATCTTAAATGTTGACCCGAATAACCAGCTATCTTTATATCTAATTTCATCAAAATCTATCCAGTGATTTTCTCGTGATGCGTTCCCAGACAGGTGACAAAAATTCTAAAAACTATATATTCAGCCTCTGTATCGATAATAAAGACTATTTCAATAAGATTTTGCAAAAAAATATTTAATGTACACATTCGACACAGAATTTTATTATATTATATGTATAGTTTGTACATATAAAATTCTCTTAATAATTTTAATTTTATATTTGAAGATCTAAATAAACGCTTATAAATCGAAATCAAAATATACTTTATCCAAATAAACTTTAAACACTTAATAAAATATAACTTAAACATTTATAATATGGTAATTAATTTATTTAATTAACTATAAAATAAATCAGATAACGTGGAAAAATGCAGATTTTAATGATCATACTTACATGGCTTACGTTGGTGATACTGATAAAAAGGGAACGCGATATGATTTAAAAAGAAAACCATGAAGTAAAAATAATTAATTAAAATTAAATTACTCAATTAATTATAATTAAACCATATTTTTGCTTAATTATATTGCATTATTATATAATTATTAAACGTTATTATAATATTTTGTTACGTTTACGTTAAATAAAGAGCGAACTTCATTTTCCCTATCTGATTTCTGAATAACAATGATGATACTTGTTTACCCTATTCTCCTCCCCATTGATTAAGCCACTCTTGTTACTATTAAGCAGACTTTTACTGGTCTAACTTTATTTATTGTACTAGCATTGCCCGCGGCTCCGCCCGCGTTCGGATGACCAAAAACCAAATTCTTAGGTTTTACATATCAGTATACTCTTACATTGCAATTTTTGTATTTTTTCTCAGAAATTAGACATTTTCCTGCGGTAAAAAGTATCCTATATGTTGACCCGAATAACCAGCTATGACCATACCAAATTTCATCAAAATCCCTCACTGGTTTTTCGGTGATGCGGTAACAGACAGACAGACAAAAATTCTAAAAACTATAGATTCGGCCTCTGTATCGATAATAATGTGTATTTCAGTGAGATTTTCCAAAAAAAAAACATTAAGATGTACAGATTCGACTTAGAATTTTATTATATGTATAGATGACAACTTAGTTAATATAGTGTCATTGACCATTGTATACAGCCCTTTCAAAACGTACCGCTATTAGACACAATCCACTTCTTTTAAAGTGAGGGGTACAATGCCATAGTCCAAACGCTGCCGAATGATTTCACAAGTCTTTAAAAATTAGTGTGATTCTTTCACATATGCACAATTTCTCATGATTTTTTCCTACGCCATTTAGTGGTAATCATGTGGAAAATGATTAGCACATTTGAATATAAGGAGTGTTGAACTCGGGGTTGGAACCCAATTTGGTTCCAATTTTCAACCCGGAGTATTTTCCAAATGAGCACGTTAAGACTGGGCTACTGTCTTCATATTGCCATGTGGTAACTTATTTAGCAGTCAGCATTACAGCTTTTGAACTATCTCAACGACATTTATGAAAAAATTCGATTTATTACACAAGGGAAATATAGAGAGCAGGCGACATATGAGTCATGTCGTGGAGACAGGTATTTCGTTAGAAAACGAGGAACTTAAGACAAGGTCGACATGTTTCCATTATACTTTCCATTACCAGGATCTTATAACATATATTTTAAACGGACGAATATATACATTTCCTTATTGGTTATTTGGAATATTTATTATAAGCAATTATAATCACAGCAGAGGTATGATCCACCTTTGTCTACGTCACTTTCTGTTTATTTTTTTTTATAACTTAAATAAGTTTCATAGTTCCACAAATGTGCAATAAAGAATATGTAGTTATATACCCAGTATCTAGTACGTACTTATATAATTTTTTTATAATTTTTTGCCAATATCGTGACTATAGGTATGTAGCGTTCTTACAAATTATTTTAAATTAAAAATATCTGCAATGCGATAACCGTAGCAAATAAATTTTAAATACATTTAATACATTATAATCCACTTTTCGTATATTGCGGTAAATATTAAGTCCCTATTTAGGACATGCCTTTGCTACCTCACCTAAGGTATAGGGATATAAAGTGTCCTATACTCGATACTATGAAAAAAATCAACTAAATGCATTGTCCTTTTGCTGCATAAAAGTAAAACAAAGGAATATACATACATACGTGCGAGTAATACCTCTAATGAAACTCAATAGTATCTTTATCGTCTTTATAGGGTGCATGCATGGTTTTACATTTGATCACCCAAATTCTTACTTCCCTTACCAACAATCAACATTTATAGTTTCTTTGTTTGTCTATTTTACCGCATATGATACCAAGAAAACTTGCCATCAAATGGCGTCAATGCTAAGTAAAGAATAAGGAAATTTGCATACAATTTTCTTTGGCGGGATTCTTGTAAATAGCAAATGATTTGTATATTTCGTCAGTGGCTTGTATCGTATCCTACTCCACTGCTTGTGCGTCATATTTTTCAAGTTTTCTAATAGACGCGGCAGCAAAGTGTCGTTTTTTTACACACATTGCATCTCTGAAAACAAAGTAAACAACACTGGGTATCAAGTACATCATATTATGTAAGTAGCATGTGCAAGGAGTCCAAGTGCAAGCAAAAGAGTAAGCCACAAAGCAAGCAGGTGAATTCCCGCCTCAACTCGATTTTTGTGGCGTGATGGTTTTGATTGCATTTTTATATCTATACTCATCTCCCTGCCCATTTCTCAAATTACTTGGGGTCGGCGCATTACGTCCGTACTGCTTATTGGTTTTGGCAAAAAAATTCCGACCGGCCGCGCCTGCCTGACGTCAACCCTCTTTTGGAATGCTGTCGACGTTTGCCCGCCATCGAGCAAGGGACTTAAAGTGCGATGTCCCTAGAGTCGCTTTAGTCGTCTTCTATGATACCTACAGGAAGAGATGGGGTAGCCCTATTTTAAGCCGGGCGCTATAAGGCTAATATATCTCAATCTATACTAATACTTAATATAATAAACAGTTTCTTTTTGTTTAAAGACGAATCCAAAGCGAAGCGAGATAGTCGCTAGTGAGTAGATATGATGTAAAATACTCATTTGAATGTTTTAATGAATATGTCATTCCTTAATGATATATAATTATTCCATAATGATATCATGCCCTAATGATAAATTAAAATAAGCGAACTGAAACAAGTTCTATCATACAGTCAAATACAAAATTATTTGCCTGTATGGTAGAACTAGTTTTACTCCGCTTATTTTAATTTAGAAGTAATGATCCTCGACCGCATAGCAGGTAATTTGAATTTAAAATTTGAAATCTTAACACGTAATCGTATAAATGTAAGTACCTACGTTTTTGTTGCATTTGATCTCTCGGTTTCATGTTCTTCGAAATATTATATCATGTCTAATTTAAGATACAAGAATTTGAATTGGCAATATTTTTCGCATGAGTTTTTTAACATCTGAAACGTTAATGAATCTATTTTCTATTAAAATGAAATAAGTATTAGTTACAACTAGCGGCTCACCTTCGCAAAAAATAATAAAAACAAACCTATCCCACGGGAAGTGTACATTTTTCCGGGATAAAAAGTAGCCTATGTGTTATTCCAGAATATCTCTGTGCCAAATTTCATCCAGATCCGTTCAGCCGTTATGGCGTAACAGAGTAATAAACATCCATACTCACAAACTTTCACATTTATTAGGTATTATTAAAATACGAATTAGAGAGGCACCCTCGCTTTGCTCGGGTTCTTCCCAAGGTATATTTTACGGATTAGTATGGTATAGATGAACTATACATATATACATAGGTATGATAGGATGTTGATTGTATTATAACGTGTTTTTCCCGTGGGAATGAGATAATCTCCTGCGCAAAAAAGTAGCATATGTCACCACACAAAAAATCGTACTAATTTGTCACTTTGTTTCGCCATGAAAGAAAAACAAACAAACAAACACACTTTCACATTTATAATATTAAATTATGGATATTAGGTACAATGGGAATGAAAAACTCAGCACTTTACCGTAAATACTAGATTAGCAATCCATTTAAGCCTCCCGCGGAAGCCCCTATCATTTGGTCCAATTTTATTGCGGACAATTACTTTTTCATCACTGCGCTAATAGCTTTATTGACATAGGGACGATACGCAAGTTGAAAATCTTATTAAGACGTTAGAAATAATATATTTTAATATTTTAGCGTCGTTTTTAAATAGGAAATCATTGTAGGTTCGTTTCAGACTGAAAAAAAACTTTCTTTAAATCTATACATATAAATAAAATTGAA